CTTTTCTCTTTCGTATGAGTTCCAGCGCCGCGCGTGCAGCATCGCCCTTGCGCCAGTGGAGTCTGATGGGCCGCGCGAGCATACCCTCTCTCCCTCTCTCTCGTCGTTTTATGTGTTTGTGCGGAGGAGGGGGAGAAGGGGGAGGGGGGAGGGAGGTGGTAGGAGGGGGGTCAAAGTGCAGAGGAGAACGTTTTATCGTTTGGACTGGGATTCGAATGTCGGCGCATACACGCGTCGGAACTAATCATTTGTAGCACCGGCATCGTGCCACGTGGGCTCTGACGTGGCATGCAGACCGTGCCACGTGGACTCTGACGTGGCATGCAGACGAAAGAGAGACCTTAGTCCCAAAAAAAAAAAAAAAGTTCTAAAGCAGGGACCTTATCTACGCCAAATTTACAGTAAAATAAATGATCAACATGGATTTATAGTAATTTTATGGTAATTTTATATTACGAATACAATGGGTGTTTTGTTTTTTTTTTTCCCCTTCACAAGAAGGGTATCGTATCTTACAGCCCACTCCTTTTGTCGTCTTCCTCTCTCATGTCACTTTTTCGTCTTTTGCTCCTCCTCCTCCTCCTCCTCCCCTTCGTCCGTCTCCTCCCTTTTCCTCCTCCTTTTTGGTCTTTCGTCCTCCCCCTCCTTTTTCTTCCTCCCCGTGATTCCTCTGCTTTTCTTCCTCCCCTTAATTCCTCTGCTTTTCTTCCTCTTGCCTCCCTTCTCCTTTTCCCTCCCCCTCCTCCTTTTCTCTCCTACCCTGTTCCTCCTCCTCCTCCTCCTCTGTCTCCAATTCTTCCTCTTCGTTTTCCCTCCTTTCCTGTACATGGAAGCACACAGTGTACTGTTCTTTTTTTTTCCCTTGGCGGGGAGGGAGGGGAGGGGGAGGAGGGAGGGAGGGAGGGAAGGGGGAGAGGGAACCAGAGAGGATCCTCTCTCTGTGTCCCAGGGTGCATATCCCACTGTCCCGTGTCCCGGGGTGAAATCATGTTGAGCTTGTTTTCTAGAAGGCAAGGGTTTGGAGATTGGGAAAATAAAATAAAAAAATAAAATTAAAAAAATCATGCCCAGTTTGTTTTCTAGAAGCGAAGGGCTTAAAGTCTATATAAGTCTATAAGTTTAGATAAAGTCTTAAAGTCTATCAGTCTATAAGTTTAGATAATACTGCTAACAATAACAATTGGCTGTTGCAATGATGTGGTGTCGTACTGCTCGCTCACTTGCTTCTTTCTTAAATGCTAGGCTATTGCGATCTGTTGTCGTTTTATCACAGGGGGAGAGAGAGAGAGAGAGAGAGAGAGAGAGAGAGAGAGAGAGAGAGAGAGAGAGAGAGAGAGAGAGAGAGAGAGAGAGAGTTGGGAGCTGACGCTTTGGGGTGGGTGGATACGTGCGTGCCAGGCTGGATGACCCGTTGATGTGGGGGCTGAAAGGTGTGGCATTTTGTTCCCCGGAGAAGATGAGATGGACTCAGGCGGCAGACGACATCTGCTTCACGAACCCCCTCTATTCTTATTTCTTCCGACTGGGTGGGTGGTATGTGCCTCTCTGTTCTCTCCCACTCTCAACAACACCCCTCCTCCACCCCACCCCTCCCCCGTTAATTAACCACCCTCTGCATTGTCATTCTCAATCTCCCTCTAGCTCTGACTCTGTTCCTCCGTCGACTACGCCTCCTCTCTGTTTTTT